GTGTGTATGCTGTCATGACTTTAGACACCGTACCTCTAGAAACGCTTAATAGCTGGGATGTTTCGGTCACTGTTGCTCCAACTAGTCGGGCTCCTACAATTTGGCGACTCTGTAAATCTGTGAGGTCTGACATTTTACGCTTCTGACAGAAAATCAAAACGTAGACAACTCTGCTAAGGCTCTCTCATGCCAATACTAATATATTTACTTTTTATATTAAAAAAAACTAATAGGTAAGATTATATTTTAATGCTTATGAAGCGAATTCTCAAATGTCGCTTTTATTCACAAGTGTTTCCATTATTTTGATAACCACCTGTATATATATAAAAATACTTATTGGNACTTATATATATATATATATATATATATATATATACATACACAGTCCATTATTATTAAAAAAAAATTTATGCAAATTAGTTAAAAAATTCGTTTACTGGTTTAGATTTATAAATACATTTTAATGTATTACAATTTGTCAATGTATGAAGCTGAGAATATTTAAAAGAATTTTATAAATAATGTATGGTATTAGTCATATTAATCTGATCTACAAGGTTCATAGAAAGTGTTCATATTTATTAATTTAATTCGTCAATGTCAAATTAACTTGTTTTGTAAGAATATATCTTAGATAATAAGGGCTCCACCAAAAAAAAATTTAAATCAAATTGTTTGATCATTTCTCAATCTCTCATGAATTATTGGAAATGAGACGAAGAAAAAGTATTTCTTATATAAAAAGCAATTTTTTTTTTAAACATCCTAATCGGACTATTTAAAAATTCTGGCAAGGATATTTAAGCTACTTAATTTTTTAACCGAGACAAATTAAATTAACTTCGTTGTATGTCATATTCTTGTCTGTTAAGGAATAAAATAAATCCAATACATCTTATGGTTGTAGCAAGCAAGATAATTTAGGTACCTGTTTTTTGCGAAGAAATTCTGCATGAAGAAAATATTGCCAAAATGCATCATGGATATTTTTTAATAACCTTGACATTCTAAATGCGCTTTAAAATCGAAATTAATAACTCGTATTAAACTCGATAAAGAATCCATTTTTATTCATGGAGAAAAAATAAATTTTTATACGTTCCCTTAAAACTTTCTATAGTCTAGTCACGCTTAACATAAGCGTCACTCAAGCTCTCGGTGAGGAAGAGCTCTATGGAATTATTTCTCCTGAAAGTAGTGGCATTTCACGAGGTACTTGCAGCTACGTATTTTTTTTATATTTAGTTTTATTCTTTTTTTTTTACGTTTTTGTTTATTTCGAAAGAGGTATTTACTGAGTGACATTAGTAATAGCTTATACGCTTCCTGATCCTGTTTTTTTCCTTCATTTTCTTTATACCTGGGATGCCAACCAACTGATTAGTGTTTCGCTTTGTCGACGTAAACTTACATTTTATGTCTTGTTTAATACTCTTGGCGCAATCAAATAGAAATAATTTTTATTTAAATAACAAGCTTATTTCAATTATGCTACGGAAAATACCACTTATGTATTCTAGACTCTTGTTTAAAATAACATTGTGAAAAAAAGCCCCTCAATTGCAGAGTTATTATTGCTTAAAACTATTTTTTTTAACTTAGTGAATATTTTTAACTTATTAAATATTCATTTTGCTTATAAATTGCGAATTAAGTTACAATGATTTTTTATAAAGAAAAATAATTACTAAATAAATATTTTTCTGTTTAAAATATTTATGTAACTCGTTTTTAATTAAAGGACTATATTATTTATATGATAAAATGATGTTGTTATAAGAAGTTGTGAACTGCAATTCTTTAAAGCAAATGATAATTAATTTCTTCAATTTTAAAATTAACCGAATTTATATTTTAAGTAAATTATATTTTACAAAATTAAATTGAGAAGCAAAATTTCAATTAAATTATCTAACAAATTAGCTAACATGTCAAGCTTTACTAATACATACATTACTTTTTTTCCATTTCTCAAATAAGCGAATTTTTAGTGGGATGATATATATAAAGATTGCTGAGACTTGCGAAGAGATATTTACAAAGTTTAATAATTTAAATGTTTTAATGAAACATTGCTTTTTTATTAAGTATTCTTTTATTATGTTGCAGAAAAATAACTTATTAATTACTTTATTAATTAAGGATGAGAAATTAATAATATATGCTTTAATTAAAAAAAGCCGCTTTGACTGAGCTTCTATTTCAAAAATTATTTTTTAAAACTACATTAAATTTAGAATGCTAATAAGAATTTTTTTTTTCGGAAATTCATAAATTATGTATAAATTATAACTATAATCAGTTTCTCAAATTTTAATTATCTTTATCAAATTTTAAAATATTATTTATGTTTCACTAAAGTATTTCGAAAAATACCTTCTGTATAGAAAATTGACTTCTTTGTATAGACTTGAAAATAAGTGTTTGCTTTTGCTTCTTATTTTAAATGCCATATAGGCTTATTGAAAAAGTTATCAAATGCAATTTTCTTTACCATAACAACTATCTATTTATATAAATATTAAAAATTTAAAGAAGGAAAAAAATGTAAAAATAAATAAATTATAGTTGCTAAACAAGGACTTTGAAAATTTGCTTTATTAAATTGCTGCATTTTAAAATCAGATTTTAATGATTTCAATTTAAAAAGGAAAGGCATAATATAATAGCTTTTTAAACCTTTGAGTTAATAAAATTTCAAATTAAAGGATTTATTATTCATTACTTTTATGTATATTTTTTTTTAAATTACAAAAAAATATCCCTATCATTTTTATAGTTTTTTATGTCGGTTTTAAGTAAGCAGATCAAAATGCATTACTCATATTTTAACTACATTTAAAATGCAAAACAACGTAATGAGTAAACAACATTAAAAATGAAAAATTAATTTTAATGACCATTTACTTAATATTTATTAAATTTAATATTTTTTCTTGAATTCCTTATATCTATATACCTTTTTAAAAGTAATTTTATATGAGTGAAAAATTTAATTTAAAAAATAAAGCAACTGTGCCAAAGAAATATAAAGAAATAAGGTGCATATTTGTTACTTATTCCATTTAACAAAAAGTATCGCTTTTTTTGCAGCTTTCTTATAATCTATTTTGCATTCTCTCAAATATTCATCCTCGCACTAGAAACAAATCTATTCCTTTCAAGAAACGATAAAAAAACACAATGATTTTCAAATCAACTTCGAAATGCTTTAGACAACAAAATTCCTGCTTAACCGTATTACCAGACGATAAGATATCTAATAAAGTAGTTTCTTTTCAAAGAAAGTTACTTTTTCTTTCAGAAAACTGACGAGAAAAAAGAAAAACAAAAACAACTGTATCACTTGCGGCGTTCTTTGATTTCCAGCAAGGAAAAGCATCTTAAAAATGTGAAGATCGCAACAGAACATACAAACACACAAAGCAATTAACCACTTAACATAGCGTAGAATTGAAAAGCAAAAATTAGAGAAAAAATGAAAATAGTGCGCTTCGTTGAAATTGTTTTGGCGCAAAATATTTGTCTTTCCGTTTTCCTTTTTTTAATATATTTTTCTCTCTCCTTTGTTTATTCAAGAAAGCGTTTGAAATTGTATTGCGAAAAATAAAATTCCATCTTTCAATTTCTGAATGTTTTAAATAATTCGCGATATTTTTTTTCTCCGTTTTCGTCGGAGGAATTAAAGATGTTTACAAAGAGCTGCGAAAATGTTTACCCTGATGTAATGAAATTATGTTATTTATCTGATCTTTCAAAAGGAAAACTAGCAAGAATAGCCGTGGAATCAAAGCGTTATCTGTTTGCATTGAAATACGAATAATCGAATTAGTTTCGAAGAATTAATTTGTGTGAACAATGATCATTATCCAGTTAGTGTTTCTGTGTTCGTGTAAATATAATTTAGCTATTGTTAAATGTCAGAAATTGTATTATTTAAATTTGATTCAAATTTTGATAAAAAAAAATCTGTCCATATTTAAAGTACAGACTGTCCAATTGCAACTGAATGTATTTCTTTAACTCGCAAAATCACATACAGTTTATGTTATTAGACCAAACAATCGTTTATATTTACTCTAAATGTATATAAAACTCTGTATTCACATTCAATGTAAATATAAAGTAATTATTCCTGATTCCGTTTCCCTCTCCCGTGCTCTGTAAATCAAAACTCAGATCATGTGTATCAGCAATAGTTTATTAGTTTGTCTTTGTAAATATTATATAAAATTCATTACAAATTAATAAACAATATTAAAAATTTGCAATGAATTTCATTTATCATGTTTTTATCCATTTCATTTGAAATATGCTGTGCCTTTTGTACAACACTTTATTTATTGTGTCAAGAATTATGATTTTTATTTATCGGAATAAACAAAAATTCTATGTAATATCTCGGAGGGTTCTATGTAATATATTGTACTCTGATATAATTTCAATAGCAGAAAATTGTTCTGCATTTTGAGGTTTAAAACAACTTCAGACTATTGATACTATAACTGCCTATGATTTATTCCATGCATAACTTACTTAATATGAATTATGCTTTGACATAATTATAATGTTATATTGTTCACTGGTATGTTTTCATTACCATAAAATTGTTCCGCTTATTAATGTTACCAACTAACTACTTAAACAATAGATAATAAATCAGTTACTTACATTTTAATAGACGTCTAATATACTTGATATAAAATAAATAATTAATAATATAAGGATAAAAGTAACGGGCATCAATAATCGTATTGATAAAAGTATGATGGGAATAGATTCAAACATTCAAACTGAAATCCCCTATTTGACAAGAAAACAAATAGTTTGAATCGAATTTAGAAGGACAAACACATATTTTTTGTAAGAGTTTGCCGTTAAGTTTATTAGCGAATTAATATTTCATAATGAGCTGAATTTTATTTTCATATGTTGAATATTTATGTGCATTTTATTTCCTCCTAATATTTAGAAATAACAAATGATTTTTTTTTCAGATCTCAAACTCCTTTAAAAAAGGATACAGATGATATGCCTGATGGAGAAGAGAAGGGTCCAGATATAATACCTGCAAATATTATAAACAGAGCTTATTACACAGGTCATTACAGTATTAAATTTTATACACATTCCTTAACAGCCCAAGGGAATTTTACGCACATTTATCAATCTTTTACCTAGGGATAGTTTTTTGCTCGATATATTCACTCTATTATTGGCGATTTTAGGATTGTAAGAATTTTTGTCCACTTAAAAAACCTACGTTTGCTGTTTTCTTTTAGCCATACCATTTTAGGACTGGCTGAATTACGTGTATTCTCAGTTTCTCTTGATTTCTCTTGATTCTCTACGCGTTGCCTACATGCTAGTAATTTTCAAAGGTAGCATATGTGATAACAAAGCAACATATAAAAGCAAATAGTACTGAAACAGGTCAAAAATGTATAAAATTTTGCATACCTTTTAACTTATTGCTTTTTAAATTTGAAAGCAAAAAATATGCTTTTAGTAGTATCATAAAGTATATTTTTCTCTCTTTTTTTTCTAACCGTAATTGCTACATAGTGGGTGTAATTAAATGTCACACTCAGAACCATTGGTTCGCAAACTATGCTCGGAAACTCATTTTACGTTTTCCGTGAAAAGATAAAACAAGTATAAAATTTAAAAATAAATTTTCAAATCTAAAAACTAAAAATATTGTTTACTGAAAAAATTGGAGAAAAAAAATATTAGACGCTATATTTCGGAGTGTTAAAAAATTGAATATTAATTATTGTCAATGTTTTGATAAAGCATCATTTAGAAGGAAGTCATCATTAATTGTGTCCGACTTTTGACAAAGCAAATTCACATTAAAAGACAGAATGAAACAATACTATGGGAAGGTTAGTCAAACCTAATTCTAGTGTTCAAATCAAAACAAAATTAAATTAGATTAAATTAATGTTTTATGATACTTAGTAAGTAACTCCAACAAATATAACAGTGCCAAAATAACGAAAAAAATTATTTGGAATGTGCATTAGTTTTTTTGGATTTATTTTCATTTTGTTCATGAATGATTCTGCTGTTTTCAGTGCGAAATTGTTTCAAAAATCAAAACTTTTTAATGGTGAAATCTAATATCTTGCAAACTTAAATGACGAAATGATGTCTTATAGTTAATGTATGTAATATGATAATTGATCAAATAAATTTCTAAATACAGTAAACAATTGTTAGATCTGGAGATTTAAATTGTTCCGCATCAAAGAGTTTGAAATCGTCTTGTTTAGACATGAATATAAGTATATTATTATTGTTTGTGTTTATCCTAACCAATATCCCAGACAAGAAATAAATATTCTTATGTGTATGGAGTTATTTCTTTTTTTAAGTTACATTAGTATTTTTAATACCAGATTTATTATATTGCAGAAGACCCGAAGGAAAATTCTCCATCGGGTAGTGCCCTAGCAGCCCGACGTTGGCCAGAATCACCACCACACGAATCTATAGAAACGTCACTAACAACATCTACATATAGAAAGGTACAAATCTTTGTGTTGTTAATTATTTGTAATGACATTTTTCGATTATATTCATTTTTGTTCAAAATAGTCAGCCTAAAGATTAGAAACCGAGTTCTTAAATTCTATACCAAAATACCTAAATTAACAAGTGTGCTATAGCGCATGTAGTAAAACCTTTCATTTCAGAATGTATATAATGTTCTATACCAATCTATAACTTATTTTATATATACTTTTTGCTAAACTTTCAATCAATTATGAATGCAAAAAATATCAAATTTCAAAAAACAGACTTTTTTTTTAAAAAGAATTGAAGTAAAATCTTACTTTATCTGTTGAATTTCATCAAAAACACTTGTTAATATAAATCAATGAAGGTTTTTCATACTAATTTAACTGAGTTTTAAGCATTTATTAATACGTATTTGTTACATTTCTTATCAGCTTGAAAATTATTTCATGAGAAAAAATATTTTTTTTTGTACTTAGAATAAAATCGCATTGTATAAAATGGATTGAATGCTCATTTATATGTTACTTCGATCTAGTGAAACTCAAACTAAAAAGATCACAAATAGTTCTCCAATAAAAAAATATTTTTTAATGTTTAAAGATTTATTTGCTAAAAATGTCCCTTTATTTGAAACCCTTTATCTATTAAGTTGTTGTTATTAATATTTAAATATGATCTATAGGTTCTGTATTCAAAGAAACATTGCAATACAAACCTCTTATTAAACAAATGTGCCTTTAATACGGTATAGTATTAAAATCTTTCTGAAATTAAATTAAATCATTTAATTTATGTTTAAATTACCATGGCTTTATTGATTTTTCTATCCTAGTTTTCATAAGAATCATTACGAAATACTTTTGATTAGAGGCTTAAATATTAATTGGTAAAAGTCAAATAAGGTTTGATTCAAAAAGACGTTGGTAGAGTGTTCAATGTTTAATTATTCTAGTTGTAATTTTTATTTTCCTAAATTTAAACAAATTATTTAAAAAACACTTTGTTTCAATTTTATCAAAAAATATATCTTAATCATTTCATTTCGAACGCATTTGAATTCAATTACTCAAAAAGCTTAGATCATTATATAATGAAAGTAATTATCCCTCATAACATAAATTGCTTTACGGAAAGCAACCTTAGTGTTCACAATTAAGGAATTGCACCAGTCACATATATATATTTCCATATTAATGATGTGCTCTACGAAATCCTATATATTTCCCCATAGAGGACTAGGGAGAAATTTATAGATCACTTGACATGTCCTCAGGGGAGTTCAAAATAAGACGACTCAATGTAATAGTGTTCTTCGATCTTTTGTAAACGGGAAAAAAAAAACTATACGTGTCTCTTTTAATCGTTCGTTTTGCAGTCAGAAGTAGAGAGATTTATAAAGACGTCTTGAAGAATCAATAAAACAAACGTCCAGAGCTCAAGATTCATCCCCAAAGTCGTTAACCGAATCAGAGCTGTTTGCTTCTTGGGACTCCTGCCAGCAGAGTCATTAGTTTGTTGTTTGTGCAAGCGCAAAATTTTTGTTGAAACATGTACCATGCCTAAGCCAGTTAGGAAGTCTTCTTTAATTGCTTTTTTGCTCCCGCTCTTGCTCTTTTAAAGAAGAATTTTCTTTCTCTCCAACTGCGTCGAAACTAACTTTTAACTAGGTGTGTCCCGGTCTTCGAACCATCCGCCTAAGCCCTTAAATTAAATTAGATTATTATTCATTTCTTTAGTTTTTTGTTTCCCAGAATTAACGTTCAAATTATATCTTTGCAGATTAAAATTTCTCGAAACATGTGTTCTTTTTTTGAGCCAGGAAAATTGTAATACAATTGCTCTCTGGTGTTGAGTGCTTACTCGGCAATTATACTCAGTTTTTGAGTTAAGTGGTTTCCGTACAACAACAATGAGTAATTACGGCTTTGGATGAAAATGGAGAGATATCTAAAAACAAGAACTTCTGAATGTATGGAGATGAGATGCTGGGAAAGGAAATTGTTACTTACTTTTTTTCATTCTTTTTAGTGTTATTTTTAATAAGCAGTTGAAAGTATTCATTGTTTCTATTCAATTTGTCGATGGAAATTTCCAGTAAATTCAAAGAATTATTCTAAATTAATGGAAAAGAAGTAGATCAAGGAAATTTTTCTCTCATAATCTTAAAAAAGATTTTTGAAAAAATAAATAAATCACTGACTTTTCTTCTTAAGTAAAGTTTATTTTAGGCCACTGTTTTATTTTCTATAGAAAGCTACGAGTCTAATGTAACAGGTGCAATAAAGGGAAACATTTAACATTTAGCGTAATGACATAATGTTTATTTTTAATTGTTGAAATCGAACAACCGAAACACAATTTTAATACACGCGCACGATACAAAATGAATTCTCATAATTAACGCAATTTCATTTGTATGTGAAGAAACTGCATTCTGAGGTATCATATTTTGTTCACTTTCATCATTGGGGAAATTACTATTTTTTTTTATTAGATGATACAAATTATATCCTAAATATTGAGTTTAGTTCTAAGCATCGATTTATGCAGTAGAAAGAAAATACTGCCAAAAATACCTTAAGCATTAGCCAATGAATACTCAGGGGCAGCCATGATTAGAATACAGGAAACCTACTTCCCAAGGGAGATAACTAACCTGCAAGCCATCCAGTTATTTACAGAAATTTATTTTAAAACAGATCAAATCACTAGAGAACTTTCAAAAATAATTATACGGCACATGGGTGATGAGGCACATTTGTCAAATATTTTTGAAATCACGTTTCGTAGAAAATTCTTGCAAATTCATAAGGAAATGATAGCGAAATATAACTTTATTGTCAAAAATTAGCGGTTTGTTTTTAAATGCGAAGAAAATATATATTTTCAGTCTGACAAAGCACACATATTCAAATAAAATAGTTTTCCGATTTGGATGAATTTCAATAAAACGTTATAAACATTATAAAATATGCAGTGTTAAAATCTTAAAATGAAATAAATACCTCTTCATTTGATGATGCATCTTTACAAGAGGTATTTATTTAATTTTTAGATTATAGATATGTTTTTTGCGATATCGACACACATAAAGAATAATTTTTATCTTAGGATAATTATTCTTTATTCAGAAATATCGCAATATACCAATAGATGTGTCTTGATAACGACTATTGGCTTTCCCATTATTAGTTTCTCCTTATATTAATTTTTATTTTATTATTTGTGTTTTTATATATATATATCTTCCTTATAATTTTANTACCTATATATATATATAATCATTTTGCATTCTTAGTGAAATTCTTTAGTACTATTATCATGGTTAAAATTGCTTAAAAAATACATTTTTCACCCAATTAAATACACAAAAAGAGAATTCACTCTTTTGTTTTATATCTCAAATTTTCAATGCATAACTCAAAAATATTTTTTAGAAAGAATGAGTGTTCTTTAAATCAAATAAAAACGCGGTCCTAATGGATTCATTTTAAAGTGTTTTACCCAACCGACATCAGCATATCTTTCTGAGTAATAAAATCTTACAAAATTAAAGATTGGGTAGAAATGTATTCTGAGTTTATACATCACTGGTTTCACTTATCTCCTTCACGCATGAGAGAATCGAAAATTTATAGTAAAACGAATGAAGTGTTAGATACCTGCATTGAGAATTTAAAATGTTTGCTCCACTTGGTGCATATTTTCGCATCGAAGAATTTTTAACCGAAATCCGCTTTCCAGTGCATTAAGTCTTAATTTCGGAGAACTAGTTTATATTCTTATATAGGTAGAAAAGTAATGATCGCTGTGTTCGTTTTCTGGATGGATTTGAAAAATTTAAATCCGTTTCTTAGAGTTGATTTTCTATTTATTTAATAAGGAGAGGAAATGAAAATTACTGATTGTTGGGGTTTGTATGTTCTTGATAATTTTATGTAGTAAGCATTTTTAACGCCATTGAAGTTTTTTATTTTGTTTTAATTCTTTTTAAAATACTTCATAGGTTTTTGTTTGAGAAGGAATTTAATTTTTAAAAACATTAGATAAACTTCAAATTTAATTTTTAAGTTGAGTGTTTCCAGTTTTAAGTTTCGTCATTGACTTTTGACTTACCATAAGATGTTACCATAAGCTGACTAAGATGTTCCGTATGCATTTTTTTTTTCATATTTTATAGCAATGTATAAGTTTATTTTGGAATGCATTTAAAACTTTAATACAAGATTTAATTCATAATAACATAAAATTATATTTAAGGTGAACTAATTTAAGTTGAACTTAAATTAGTCTGAATTATCACGTTGACATTATAATCTAATTGAATTTAATGATAATTTAGCAGGATTAGTAATTCTATTTTTTCGTCAAATATGCTAATATTTTTTAATTGACTTATAAATATTTATCGTTATAAATTTCTTGCTACCTGGTATATAATTTTGTTTGTTTACATATACTTGCTTTTTTATATACATAATTTACATTTTTTTTCTGTTATGCTTTCCTTGAATATTTTCGGAAAAAAAGAAAGTAAACATCTCTCACAAAACAAAATGTTTCATTATATCATTGTCATTGATACCATCACATATCTAAGCCCATTCATTTCCTTTTAGCATCTAGTAACTCTTTGTTAGAGAGTTGTAAGATCCTAAAAAGGACTTTTTTCTTCCACTCTCTAGCTGAAATCGATCATGAGGACGCAATTGGAAGATTTCCTGCTCTTCCTTTGAGTTTTTATTCCCTGGATTATTGTACTTGACTTTCGTCATTGTGGTCGATAGGTCGGTTTTGCTTCCGGCCAGGGTTGGAGACTAAAAGCATTTGTACAAATCAAGCAATAGCTCACTGTGAGGAACATTCGAGCTTTTCCTGTTTACCAAATCTATTGCAAATTGAGTTTGTCAACGTTGAAGTGAATTCACGAAATGGTGTTCCAATAAATTGAAGTATTTAAAAATAGTGGTTGAGTCAAATGTTAAATTTTTTTATCTCCCTGAATAACTGCTTCTGCCAGTGATATGATTCCAAAGCTGTTTCAATCAGAAGCGGATTTCGTTCTTAAAATGCTGATATAATTACAATTTGCGAAGAAAAGTTCACAATACTTACGAATATATCAAAGTATAATTTTATTTAAAAAAATATTTAAAAAAAACTTTGAAATAATGGCTTTAATTCATGATTCTATGAGTCAATTTTATATATAAACCAAATATGATTAGGGCGATTCCAAGAAAAGTGGTCCTGAGTGACTAAATTTTCAAAATTATCGTAAAATCAAAAATGACACAATTTCGGAATCTAGAAGATGTACATTTTTTAATAGTTAAGATAGTTTTTTGAATTACAAAAAATATTTATGTGAATTCTAACAAAAGGTGGAACACTATGAATTTTAACAGGAGTTCTCTTCTTTGTTATGTTATATTCCAATGGAGTTCTTAAAATATTAAAGAGCAATAAAATAGTTTTTAGTAATAAATATAACTATTTTACTCTTTTATCATTGTTTAATGTATTTTTTTAATTTGGCCTAAATTTTTTTGCTTGTTTGAAAGTCGATTAATCAAGATAGTCTAATTTCCCAGTAACACACGTAACATAATTTTGCATTTTTTTCTGTAAAAACTTTAGTAAAAAAGAANCTAAGGAAAATAATTGATCGTCATATCCGGTTATAAATTGTCGGGTGTGCTCCAAAACAACAATAATATCATTCAACTTTCCTCACAACTTAATATATGGTGTTATTTTTTCGCATTAGCATGTTTAATACCATTAGCCCTCTAAAGTACTGACAGCATGATTCAGTGATGAACCGATTTTTATGGGAGTAAGATCTGAAATGAATAAAGAGCGATAATTCCAAATAAATAATTAAATCTAATTCCAAATAAATTTAATTCCGATAATTCCAATGAATAATCGGGATTTATTATTGAGGGAAATTGTTGTAATTACTCTCAGAAATAAAACTCTCAATTTTCTTTACGATCTTTGAGCTATATTTCATTAAATTTGAGAATAATTCCATTACGAAATCTCGTGATTTGTGAGAAAATGCAAACTCTCAAAAACAAAAAAATCTCGAAAATGTTTCCTGTCTTTGAAATCTCCTTGATCTCGGTTCGGGCATCTGTGTAACTGATCTATCTTCTATCTGTCCTTCTTGCGTTGTTGGAGCGACATTAATCCACCTGTATAATGCCCCCGAAGAAGTAATTATTCGAAAAATTAGATACTTATGCACTATAAGTTTTTTTCAGTAAAAAAGAAAATAATGAAATATGTATATATTTTTTAATTTTGACGAACTTCGTTTCTTCGAAGAAGCCACAATAGTTATTTCGTCACTTTGACGAAACATTCGCTCGGATCATATACCAGAAAACGATTTCGTCAAAAACGTAGAAAATTTCGCGATACTTGAGTATCCATTTTCTTACAGGGATGGGAAGTGCATTTCCCCCAGGATATTTATGTATATTAAATTTATTGATGAAACTTAGGTTAAAGCAAATAATAATGTACCTTTATTATTTTTTACAGCCTCCTGAAGACATAACATATGTAGAATTATCATTACCAAGGGAACATCACAGTGTAACGTCTGTAAGGCGGAAAGACCCTCCTACAGAATACGCAAATATAGATCTTCATAGCCACTTACATCTTCAGACTATTGTTGTTGAGAGGGAAGAAGACGAAGAAATGGGTAGCAATACGTGTGAAACCCCTCTCATGAGCAACAGGCGAGAAAGTGCCGTTTGAACTAGATCTGTTTTTATAAGGGACTCATTTACTACAAACCTCATATGCGAGAGCATAAAAACAAATATATCAAAATGAACACGAAGTCGTACAGAGCAGCTTGCAAGAAATACAAAGAGAACTAAGATGTTCTACTACTTACAGTGTGGTAGCTACAAAAGGAGCATACAACCACGTGTCTTGGGAAAAATTGCCACGAGTGAACGTTCGAGAATATATCACCTATTATTATTGTATGATTTTTCGAATGCTTATTTTACTTGATTTATTTCTTGAGTGTTACACGAAATTTTGGAAAGTTGAAATTTTCTACGCTATTAAAAGGAAAATTAAAACTATTTTGTCGAGGCTCAGCAGTGAATTAGGCGATTTTATAATCCACAATGAATGATTAAATTTGCTTAGTTGATAGAGAACATATGGTAGACATGAAAAAAATTAATTTAATAAACAAAAAAATACAGAAGTAAATATTTATTTTCCAAATTTTATATTCTTTGGAAACGTAAAGAACTAGAAAATCTTCAATAAGAGCATTTCCAATTATATTCGATGGATCCCTTACTGAATGTAGCGCTTGAACATTGTGTTTCTGTTTATACAGAGCATATGCACTTTGTATTATTATTCACAACCCCATAGTAACTAAAAAATTATTCATTTTAATGTTTCTACAAGAAAACACTAGCATCAATTTTCCTAATCAAACTAAAACTGCTGCTAAATCGCCTGATTCACTGCCACAACATGAAGGAAAAAAATTTAAAACAAGAGATAAATGTTTTACTACTTTTAAAATAAATTGAATTTATTTTCTTTCAATTTAAAATTTATAAAGGATTATTAACGAAACCGAATAAATTTGTTTAGCTTTACGAAATTTTGGGAAAGATACAAAATGATATCTAACAATAGCCTTCCAATTTCATAAGTATGTTTCTTTACATTGTTTCAGATCCTTATCATTTCAAAATAGCTAAAACAAGAAAGAAATTTTAATCCACTAATTCTCATAACAAATTAAATTCCACAGAATATTGCACATTCATAATACTTATACAATATCACGCTCCATTTCATCTGCGTTGTCGGTTATTTATTAGAGTAGTTTGTATTCTTGTTTTTTACTACAGGAATTATAATTTCAATTTTTAAAAAAAAAACAGATTATTTAAAAGAACAAATTTAAATAATTTATAGACGTTTTAAAAAAGAGTGATACTTAGGGAAATCAACCGAAAATTCAAAATAAAGCTTTCATTCTGCTAAATTTTTAAACAATAAGAGTGAATCACATAATTATTACAATACAATAAATGTTGAAAGTTTAGGCGGATATTGAATTTAGCAATTTAATATATGTTCCATATGAAAGAAAATGAACATTTTGATGTAGGAATCTAAACTTGTATTTTGCCTTCGGGATTAAAAAATAACTTAAATGTAACGAAATATAAGAATGAAATTTATAATTATTACAACACAATAAAAAATGTAATTTTAGTGATTCAAAGATTTATAACATTCGTTGAACGTGAGAAAAAATCGGAAATTTGAATCCGAATTTTTAAACCCAGAGAATATTTATAAGATTATTCCGGTTCTGCTTATTCACTTTTCCAAATAAGTAACAAATAATATGGAATTGCAAACAATGTTTTGTATTTTAACAAATATTATTGTTATTTTATCCCTTGTGACAACTATTTTGAACATATTACTCAGATATTTTTTAATCGCAGTTTATTTTAGGGGATTACAATTGATCCTAATTAATGTTTAAAAGAAAGTTTAAGAAAAAAAGTATATGTGCAAGTGACAACAGAATAATATGAGTATAAAATTATTTTTTTTCAGAAAGTAATTTAAATCTTTTTTTCCTTAGGAAAATAATTTTTTTTTAAATTTTATAATGTATCCATAAAATTTAGTTTCATTATCTCATTTTCTTTTAAAACAATTTATTAACTTCGAATTTGAAGGCTTCTTATGTTTAGAATTATTCACCATTTTTTAATTTATTTAACCTTTTTGTTAAAATTTTTACTAAAATTTATAAACGTTGTTACATGACTTGATAATCAGCTACGATATTGTGTCGATAAAGATGATAAAAATAATAATCCTATTAATATATATAAAAGTGTTTTTGCTTTGAATTTTAACAATAAAAATGTATGTTGATACTAAAGAACGTTGTTATAATTTATTTATATTATTGACTATTGGACTATTGAATTTAAATTATTGACATTCAGCGGAGAAAAAATTGTTTTGAAATTACACTTCTGCATGGTAATAACATTTTTGGTTATAAACAATCTTAACTCTAGTAAAAAAAATCTATGGTATTTATAAACTATTTATTAAGGAAACTTTCCGTTCATATGGTTATGATTTACCGGAACTTCTGGTTTCAAAATTATAGTACTTATTACCAAACTACCACTCAGTAAAATAATATACTTATTGCTATTGTTATACATAGTACTTATTACCATTCAGTAAAAAAATACAAAGCTGAAAATTAAATTTTATCGAAACAATGGTTTTTATGCCATGCTCTAAAGTTATAATAATAAAATTTCCAAATTTTTCCTCATTCACAAAATTTTTTCACGCATTATTTAATCACACTAAATTTTATCGCACATTAAATATTGCAGTTAATTTGGATTGAAATCATTTCCAAAATGCCTCGGTTAAAAATTTCCGAGATTTTTAGTACCTCTATAGAGCCTGAAATACGGTAAATTTAACCATATTCTGACCGTTTTAACCATATTTTTTTTCTACTCTATATCTTTATAAAACATACATCTATAGGAATTTTCTTAACTGTGCAGTTTTCCTGTATCTTTACAGTACTTAATTTGTAATCTAAATTCTTACTTAGTAAAGAATTAATTAAAAAGTTCTTTTAACCAGTAATTAACAAAACTGCTCAAGTACTAATTAACACCGTGGTAATTAAATGCTAAAAGCGCTGCCTGTGATCATACTACTGAAGCTTCAACCTCGGAACAAAGAAAGTGTGTGTTTGAATTCTGATTTTGGATACAGATTTAACATTTTTTACATATAATGTTACATTATGTCTGCACAATCGTGGTACCAATAACAATCGTTCTTCCGTGTGTAAATAGTAGACAAGAAACTAAAGAAAAAAAATATTTGTAAGCTTTCCTTTGAGCCCCAGTCAAACAAATAATTTCATCAATTCTTATTTATTTTGTAATAAGCACTGCGAGTATGTTTTTACTAGTTTTCACTGAAGATTTATCAGTGTAACATCTAAATAATGCCGAATTACTTGATAAATGAACACGCTAGGAACAAAATTATTCAATGCAATATGTGTGTTAACATTGCAGCGAAAACTACTTAAGAAATTTTTAAACATAGTTATTAAATTAAATTGCGATTTTTTTCCATAAAAATTGGTTATTTTATTTTCAGCATGTTTCAATGGCACTAAATAAATTCGAATATTTTTAGCTTATAAATTTGTGATTAACATACTAAAAGTTTGTTGATTTGTATTCACATATATATTGAAGTAATTTTGAAAAAGAAATATTTATTTATTTATGTCATTTATTTATTTATTTTTGTTTTTTGGATGGCAGAAGTTTGTTCTTGTTTTAAAACATTTTACCCATAGTTTTATCTAAAATGATCATGTATATTTAAGGAAAATAGTGCCAGGGCAGAATTGCGGATCAAAACATTGATGAAGAAAACCGTAAATTCGCCTAAACTGAAAATCGCACTTACTTCCCTAGTTTTGACTATAAAGCATAATGTGACATCAGCATTTGTGAAAAATATTAACGTTGGAGTCACCTTATTCACAATGGATAATGCCGTCAGATGTAGGATATTGCTCGGAATTCCCTACACTGATGATTTTTTTCCAATTAATGATCATTCCTCTGTTATTTATCAGTTCATTATCAAACTTAATGTGCCTCATAGGTATATCAATATTTTTCTCGTTATATTAGATTTTTTTTCCATACCGATTTTAGAATTCACGATTTTTTCCTACTCGGTTATGCCCAAAAATCAATATTAAATTCTCATTTTCATTAAATATGAGAAAAATGTCAGAAAGATGAATAAAATTTCTTTAACAAATATGATATATGTTAACATATTGGATTGATATGGAACTGTTTCTTTTGTTACATTTTAAGTTTAGAAAACGGTTCAATTTTTGTAAACTTTTTTCTAAAAACAAAATTGAAGATATAAATCCTCTTTTGAGGACATACATTCCTTTTTCTGCAAAATTATATTTTTTCAATTCAAAAGTCTTCGATTATTTCAAATGAATCATATTTATGAATAACAGCCCTCCATAACACCTCAATGTTATATCTCTCAGCTTGATAACTATTTCATAGTAATTTCCTTACATTTAATTTTATTTCCGTGCTTGATTGCGCAAAACTAATTAATTATATTTTTAAAAAAAGAAACTTTATCTTAGGTTAATTATTAGTTTGTCCTTGATAAATTCTATTGCCTTTAGTTAACATTTCTTTTTTGTAATGATTTATTATATGAATTTAAAATTTTAAGAATTTGCATGATTTAAAACACTTAAAGTTGTTTTAGATTTGTAAGATTTCTGAATAGTGAAAAATGGGGTGAATTTTTGAAAGCGCGCTTCTGTGAATGAAGCGCTAGATAAATTTATTGTCTCTTTTATGTACTTTGAACTGTTAGAAATAAATTACAATTGCACAATAAAATTATTTTATATCTAAGAATGTATTGTTTGTTCTTTTAAATAAAACACGCAATTCATATTCAATGCAATTTAACACTCCAAATATTGTTCCATTGTTCGTAAATACACAGCAATTTTTCATATGAAATTAAAATATTTTCTTATATTTACGTGTCGATGTAAATGTTATAATATTAGTTTTCAATGATAAGAAATATCTTTCAAGGAATTGATTATAAAATATCCCATAAAAAACAGGTTTATAATTCTAATGGTATAAAGATATAAATCTAAGTAAATATAAGCTCACAATAAACATTCAATTTAGGAAGTTTACAACGTGTTTTTAAAATTCCCGTATTTACTATTAGCTTATCTAATATACAAAATCAATAAATTCTAAGAAAAAACATTTGTATGCAAATGGTTAAAAGTGCCCTTATCAAATGCAAAATTTAATTTCCTTTTTCAAAGAAATGGTTGTAAATAAATATCCTAAAATTCGAAATGTGTTTGTTCGTTTTTGTAGAAACGAATTTCAAGATAACTTTATCCTTTAGACATTGGATATTTTTAGATCATCTATTATAGCAAATTTATAGGTTTGATTTTAAAGAAAATGTCAAAAGTATTTTGCGATGGTATAACTTTTAAAACAGGCGTCAAACGGATGTCTAAGTTTTTAGGAATCAGAACTCATCGAATGCATGTGGACAGGGAATGTTCCCCACACGTCTTTCCGGCTTGATGCCTGTGCAAGATTCATGGTTTAATTACTTGCATGATGTGGTCAAAACAGTACTCATTTTAAAACAATTTAATTTACTTGCTTCCGGGTTTTATTAGTTTTATTTAAGTATATTTGAAAATATTTTTAAGTATCTTCATTTTATGCATAGTATATATAGAAATGAAAAACAAATTTAAAGATAAAAGATATTTAAAAATTACCAATGCCACTTCATTTAGACTTTGAAGGATTTTCTTAAAAAATATTGTATCTAAAATATGTAAAATTCTAAACTATAACTCTCTCCAAATAACACTGACACAAGAGTTTCAATAGAACATATTGATTTTGCATTCCAAGGTTCTGCCTTAAACAATGAAGATTTCTCCTAGATACGTTTGGCTCATCGCTTCCTTTTGAATGATTTGTTTTTTTCATACGAAACAATGAAAATATTATTCAAGAAGTTTACCGTGGTCACATTATCGCAATTTATGTATGGAAGTAAATAATGAGTAAAATTTATAATGCAAGATTGTATGAAACTCTCGCAATGTATTCAAGTCTCTTGAAAAATTTTTACTTTGAGCTTGCTTCGCAATTGGAAGAAAGTAATGTTGGTTTCGACTGACTAACGAGCGATTAAATGAAAGATCTTTCAATGTTTCTTCCACCTATCTATTTCTAATTCCCGCTTTTGTTTTTTTTCTTATAATTGCTTTTCTTCTGGTTTTTCCAAAGTATCTCTTTCTTCCTCATGTAGCCGAATTAGAAGAAATTTAGACGTAGACGGTATTATCTCGTATTTATTTTTTTTATTCCCTGTAAGATTTTCTTCGAAAATAATGGTTAAATAAAAAATTTTTGATTGTTATTTTTTCTATATTCAAACAAAACAATCAAATAAACATAAATAAGATGGTATTAATACTATTAACTGTGAGAAAAACTGTTTATTAACTGCTTTCACCGAACGCGATTAAACAACCATAATTTTCTTGCACCAACTAGACTCATCTAAGGAAACCACTTAGTTCCTTGGTGATGGATACATATTATAGCCGAGAGGGCTAATCTGTCATTTTTATGACTCACAGAACAGGGATTCGAGTCCCAGCGTTGACACCATAATACTTCCTACATTTCCTTCAACGCATGTAGACTTTCCTGTGTCCTGCACATCATAATTTGTGATCCTGGGCAATAAGAATACGATACTCTTATTCACGTATCGATGAAAACATCATAAAGCTGCTGAACTATCTCGAAAATCCATTAAGTCTCATTTGACAAAACACAACTCAAGCTACAACAAAACTCCAACGTAAAGCAAAATTTCTCTTTTTTTACGCTTTCGAAACCATGCTAGTTGTAAATGGTTAAAAATAAAGATTATAGTTTTACATTCATGTTTTTTTAACTATACTAGTTATAAACGGTTTCAAAACTGTAAAGGTGTAAAATGATCCTCATCGTTAAATTGAATAGACAGACTGTTGCCAATTATTTTACTAAAATTTCAGAAAGAAATTCTAACAGCAATGGGTTGAGTGATTCACTTTTTAATAATTGAAGTATATGGCATAAGTTAGAGACATTAACAGCAGTAGTATTTTTAAAGAGGACAAAAAATTATATAATAGATTCATGTTGTAGAAAATTTTGACACTCATTAAATGTTACAACTAAGTTTCATACAAACAAAGAAACAT